TACTCTTTTAAGGATCTTCAGATCAAAAAATTTGGATTATCAACGAATATTACTCTAAGGACCTTCACATCGAAAACGGGGGTTCTTTAAGAATTCTAGGACCGACCACAAACCTAATTGTGCCAAACTTAGTACCGTTTAGTACTTTCCGAATACATGAGTACACACTTCCAAAAGTACCTTCAAACATCGACCCTATTCCTCAACCTTGACTCTAATTCCAAATTCCAAATTTTTAGCTCTAACCGTTCATATGCTACGAAATGGTACCAAATGTAGTACATTTAAGTACACTTTTAGTGGGAATTTCCGGAATTTTTCAAATAGAAAATGGAAAACAATAGAAAATTAATTCACGTTTCAAGTGAATTTGCTGCAAAAAAGTCGGAAAAATTAATATATTACTTAAAAATTCAGGCTTGACAGATTTTATAAGCTATATTTTAATTTTTAATTTTTTACAGAAAATTCACTCAAAACCTGAATTAATTTTCTTTTATTGTTTCAAAACATTTCACCACTGCTGCTGCTAATAACTTAAAGTCATCTGAAGTAGAATTTCGATTGTGCTTACCACATGTCTTTAGTAAAGCCCTAAATGACAGCTCTCCAACTCTTGGAATACTTGTTGTGGTTGCTTGCAAAGCAAATTCGCATATCTTCTGCCACACACGAACAAACACACATACAGAGGCATATATCACAATTCCCAATGGTTGTGCAAGGCGTTGTAATACCCTCATATATTATCATATTAGATTATTGTTGTGGTAGACCGATTCTTGACACCCATGCAAAATGATTATAGTTACCTTAGGGTGTAATGGAATTATTTCCAATCCACAATGAAGTGTTTCAGAAAAATACAAAGAAATTCTAGAAGTCATAGTTGAGTTTTAGTTTTGCAAAAATTGCCACATTTCCTAGATGAAGAGTTACTCTTATCCACATTCGCTCTCTCCTTCTCTTTCTCCTCCTCCATATCACACTTCATAACATTACAACATTACCATTCGTACATGTACAATTACCCTTAATCATCACTAAGCTGTTGTTATTGTGGTTGTAGTCTCGTTGTTCACAGTTCGTTTCGGTGAGTGCCTTGTTCGTCGGTGTTGTGTTTTGCGGTGCTCTGCCTTTGCCATCGACACACTTGAATTCACGACATGAAAAACAGTTTGCTTGGCAAAAAAAAAATATTTTATTAAGTTATTAATTAAATGAACGATACTTCATTCGTTTGGTTAACAACCAAAACGAAATTTGTGTTGTGTGTGAAGTGGGGAGGGGAAATAAGGAGGAGAACCTTTACTAATGAGAATTATTCATAACAGTAAACGGAAGAGAGTGGGAGTTGCATGAAATCTATGACCGGATGTGAAACAGAACACTCACACACACACACGCTCATACACATGTAATCATTAGAAAAGAAATATTCGGCAAATGAATTGTTAGAGATTATATCATTCTATTAGAAGAGAGAGAGAGGGGGAGGAGAAACATGGTTGAGGTGAAGATGATGATGAGTTGTTGAGAGGGAATAAATTGAACGTTAGTTATAAAAAAAAAATGTTAAAGATACTTTTTTAAAATTATTCCTTCACGCTTCACATGGCAATGCCATAAAAATGTATATTTGGCAATGCTGTTTATTGAACATCATATCGTCTCACTGCACAGTAAAGGCAGCAACTGATAACAACTAATTTGATATGTAGATGGCGCCCTAGTGTGATCAACAATGCATTTACACAGTGGTCGCATTTTTATGCAAAGAGCGGGTAAAAGAGGAGGATTGTAGGAAGCAATGAATATGAACCGAAATAAATAAATATCTTTAATTATTAGTAGTGGTGGAATGTTTGAAAAACAAAAAAATAAAAATAAAAATCCAGGCTTTATCGTGTCATTGAAAAAAACATTCTGAAATCCAATTGGTAGCCTTATATTTGCAGATAAAAATCTTGGGGAATGCAAAAGCTGAAAAATATTCTTAAAAAAATCAAAATTTTGTGGAGGTAGTTTTCGAAAAGTGTACTTATGTGTACGAAAGGTACAAATTATGATCATAAATTTGGAACAATTTAAGTTTTGGGAGTTGGAATCCTGAAATTTAGAAATTACATTTCTATTGGATTCCATGATGTAGGTAGTTATGAAAATGTGTACTTATGTGTACTAAATGGTACTACATTTGATACAATTTTGATTTGTTATGCTGAAATTTGGAATTAAGATTACTGTTGGAGTGTAGGATTAGGGTATGTAGGAAGTTTTGGAAATTTGTACTTATGCGTACTACATGGTACTAAATTTGGTACAATTTGTATTTGGGCTAACAGATAGGGAGGGGTGTGATCCTGAGAAACTTTAGAGTTAGAATCCTGAAATTTGGAAATAATATTTCTATTGGATTGAATGATGTAGGTAGTTATGGAAGATTGTACTTATGTGTACTAAATGGTACTAAATTTGGTAAAGATTGGAATTGTGGTGAATCTATATAGAGCTGGAATTCTGACATTTGGAAACATGATTACTGTAGGAGTGTTTGATTAGGGTATATAAATTTTTTTGGAAATTCGTACTTATATGTACTACATGGTACTAAATTTTGTACAATTTATATTTGAGCGAACCGGTTGGAATCTTGAAATTCGGAAATAAAACTTCTATGGGATAGTATGACGCAGTTTGTTATGGAAATTTGTACTTATGTGTACTAAAACGTACTAAATTGGGTACGATTTGGATTTGGGCGAACCAATGGGACTGGTATCCGGAAATTTGGAATTAAAATTACCATTGGAGTGTAGGAGTTTACTTTAAAGTTTACTTTAAGTTTACGAAAAATGCTAAAAAGGTACTAATCTTTTAAAATGGTACCATTTGGTATTATGTGAACGAATAGAGTTAAAAACTAAAAATTTGGTATGAGATCCAAGGATGGAAAGTAGAATTAATATATGAAGGTGGTTTTGGAAATGTGTGCGAACTGTACTAAATGGAACTAAATTTGGAATAGTTTGTTTTAGGGTGAACGGATGAAGCTGGAAATCTGAAATTTTGTATTGGGGTCCCTGTTTGTGGTAGATTTGTGATTACGAGGTGGGTTTTGGAAATATGTACTACAAGTGCACGAAAGGTACTAAATAGTACTATCTTTGATACAATTTGGTACTGAGTGAATAAATAGTGCTAAAAATCTGAAATTTAGTATTAGGGACGATGTTCATGTAGAGCCTGGACATATGGAGGTGGTTTTGGAAATGGGTACTATAATTGTTCCAAAAGTACTAAGTGGTACCAAATTGGGTATTTGGCGAAGGGATAGAGGTGGAACCATAAAATTGGATATTTAGATTACTGATGGTATCTGTGTTTGAGATTTGGTGGTGATTTGGAAATGTGTACTATATTTGTACGAAAAGTACTAAATGGTACTTAATTTGGTATTGGCTAAAGCGATAGGGCTGAAATACTTAAATTTGATATTCAGGTCTCTGTTGGTATCTGGAATCGAGATACGGAGGTGGTTTGAAAATGCGTTATATATTTATGAAATGAAATGTACTAAATAGTACTAAATTTTGGTATTGGGTGAAAGAATAGAGCTGAAATCCCGAAATTGGATATAGATGTCACTGTTGGTGTCTGTGGTTAACATATGGAGGTGTACTAACTTTTACTAAATTGGGTTTGGATGATGGAATGGAGCTAAAATCCTGAAATTTGATTTAGATCTCACTGTTGGTGGCTGTGGTTAAAATATGGAGGTGGTTCTGGAAATGTGTACTATGATTGTTCGAAATGTACTAGTTTTTACTAAATTGGGTATTGGATGAAGGAATGGAGCTAAAATCCTGAAATTTGATTCTGATATTATTGTTGGTTAAAATATGGAGTTGGTTCTGGAAATGTGTACTATGATTGTTCGAAATGTACTAATTTTTACTAAATTTGGTAATGGGTAAAGGGATAGAGCTGAAATTTGATATTGATGTCACTTTTGGTTTATAGGGTTTACATATGGAGATGTTGAAATAGTTTTGAATTGAAAATTTGAAGTTGGCAATGGATTTACTTATATCTCCCCAGATAAACTTTAAAATAAAAGGTTTTGAAGAATTTCCTATCATTCTCTCCGAAAAAGAAAAAAAACTTAAATAATATATACAACCTTGAAAATCTGAAAATTTAGTACAACGTATAGTCTTTATTAAAAATACGTCAAACTGATCAAATTGTGCATTTTGAGTACTAAAATGGTCCGATCCCGACAATTTTCCACATATTTTCCTATAGCTCACATATAGCCGTACACTTGATATTTGACATTTTGACGATTCCTACACATTTTCTAGGGAAATGTTTTGTATTTGATAAATAAAATTCGCAGTAGATTAACACCCCTGTTGCACAAAATTATACATGTTCACGTTTTGATATTGTCCCCAATATAAAAGTATCACTCACTTTATGGTATTTCGATCTTTATGCTTTTTTACTCGCTAGTAATATGACCCATAACCAAAATAGCACCTTGTCACCTCTGAACTGTTTCTCCGTCGTCGGAACATTCATGGAACATCTAATTTTTTTTAATTATTTTATTTTTTTTTTATTTTTACAAGTTAGCAACACTATCTCTATATCCCTAGGTCTGAGCGACTGTTTTATTTTGGTGGTTATTTTGCCGTCAAACTTCCCTAATTGCCTACATTATAAGAATCAATCTACTGGAATTCCTGTTCTCCTCCTTTTGGCAAATGAATACACAAAGTCTATAGCACCCTTATATTGCGGCCCATTTCAACTTCATGCATTGCCAAACCTAAAGCCATTGGCAATGCGTTCTCTGGTTTACGAATGAGATGGAGGGAAAATAATAAAATTCTGTCTCTGCTGCGTTGCCGTACTTGCGACGTTTGCCATGGCGTTGCCAACTCATTCACTGAATTGCCAAATGAATTGATGAGAATTTTGTTAGTTTATTTTTGACAGCTCACGTAAAAACATTGTTCGGCGGATATGTAAAGGCGTTCTTATTTCGGATGTGCGTATCGTCTCGTAAATTAAAGAAGAAAGAATTCCAATAAAGAACCCAAAGGAAGAAAAAATATATAAACAAATTATGCTTATAAATGTAATTAGCAAAGAAATGTTAATTATTACTACTCATATAATGTGTTGCTGTGCGGGAGAGGAAATGTAACAAAAAACATAAAAAGGGTTAATGCGTCTGAGAGGAGAATTGTGAATTGTTCAATGCCAAAACCTGTGCGAGATGACAGATTTGTCTGCAATGTTTGCCAATAATCAATAACAACAAAAGAGCATTCACCACGAAAGAAAGAAAGAATGTAATAACAACAAATATCCCTCCTCCCCTCCCTGCAATGTTATTTGTTTAAATAAAACAAAATAACAACAAATCAGTGAAAAAAAGAGCCAATCAAAATAAAAGTAATGCAAATTGTGTGTTGTGACCGAAGGAAGTGAAAGAATAAACAACGACGAAAAGTGGTGTGCAAAGAATGAGAGAACCAAAGCAAGTGTGAAAAAAGAAATGTAAATAAACCAAAAAATTAGAATTTGTTTTTTTTTGTTATGATCATAAATTGTATTGTTTGTGTTACTAGCGATAAACAAACGAATTGAAATGAAACGAAACTACGGTGTCATTAATAATTTTGCGGTTTTTTGTGTTGCCGTCTTACGGCTTACCGAATAAAACAAAACAAAAGAGGTAACAAGAAATTCCTTTCACCAGAAAAAAAGAATTGAAAGATTTATTTAAAACCATTTTTTGGTGTGTGAAATAATAACAAAAACAACAACAATTGCTTCATTCAATCAATTCAAGGTGAAACATATTTGATTTTGCTGTGTGCGTGTGTATGTTTATGCATGTGGCTGGAGGAGTTCTTTACTCATTCGCCGCCCGCCACCGTGTGTTCAAAGTCTGTCGTCAATTATTTCATGACGCTAGTGCGTCAGTGGGTGAATTTTATTAGTTTTGGCGTGCGGTTTTATGAGCTCATAAATTCATTGAGATGAACAGCTGTTTTCGAGAGTTTTGAGATTAGACAGACAGACATCCAGCAACCGAGAAAAATGTGTTGAAAAAAAAGATGATTGTCTGATTCAGCCTCTCCTGCCCGACAGACAGGCGGGCTCATTCACCTTCAATTATGTCGCCTAGTTGTTGATGTCATGGGGAGTTCATTTAATATTTCCATTAAATATCAACAACAAATTCTAATTGGTTTTTTGCCCTGTAAGATTTTGACAATTCCCGTTTGTCTGTCTCACGGAAAGTGTTGTCAATTCAGTAGAGAGGGAAAAATCGCTGTAATTACAGAAAAATGCATTGGCAATTAAGAACTTGTTTACACCGGCCATATTTTCATAAGAAGCGTTATTTACATTGCCATTTTTTGTGATTATACGTTACATAATTGACAAATTCTCGTAAAATGCGTAATGTAGGCCTGTTTAAAACATTACTGAAAAACGAGAATACTTTATAAAAAGTAGGAATTGCAGAAATTAATGTTTTATTATAAAATAGTTTGGTTTTTATGGATTATTTGGTTTGGATTATTATTAGTAATACGATTTGAATTAATAAAATGGCCACAGGCTAAATCTGAACTTGTTCCTATAAAACTTACGAATCATTTTTAATGTTTAAAAATTTCATTTTTTTTCCACAACTGTTTGTGATATTGTTATCAAATTAGAAATGTAGGGTGTCTAGGGTCTTTTTTGCTTTGAATTCGAAAGAAATTCAGTTTGGGTTCCAGTTTTTACTTGAATGCTGAAAACGATCGACAACTCGAAAGCAACCATAAGCCAAAAAAAGTCACATTCTTGTTAATTAATTTTTTGTAAGGTAATCGGAACTCAATGCCAAATTCAGTTACTTCCATCTGAGTTGTAAAGATAACGTCAAGTAAAAATCAAGAAAATACCCAAAAATTTCAGAAAAAAAATTGCAAAATAAATACAATTTTCAATCAAAAAATATAAAAAATTGCACAAATGTTGTTCATTAATTCTGATATTGTTTTTCTTGGCATTCCAGAGAAATTTATGAATTGCCGAATTGGTTTCTTCAAAAATCCCTCATATGCTGGCTTGTAAAGATAACGTCAAGTAAAAATCAAGAAAATACCCAAAAATTTCAGAAAAAAATTGCAAGAGCAAAATAAATACAATATTTATTCAAAAAATCATAAAAAAATGACACAAATGTTGTTCGTTAATTTTGGTTTTTTTTTGGCATTCCAGAGAAATTTATGAATTGCCGAATTAGTTTCTTCAAAAATCCCATATATTCTGGCTTAGCTTAGCCTTTAAATGGCAATAAAAACCGTATATTTGTCCCGTGTAGTTTTCTATCTGTAAAGGAACAAATTTTATTAACAAATATGACTATTTAAGACGTAGATCTACATTAAAGAATTATTGATTACGCCTCTAGAAATTTCAAAAATTAATTTGCATTCACTTCGATTGAAGCTGAGGCTCAAAATTTCAAGTTTATGTTAAGGCGTGAAGAAACACGGTATGCCATTGTGTCAGGAGGTTAGACAGGGTGAGATAAAAAAACTGCCGCACAGTCAAATGCCATAATTTTTACATTTTTTTTTTGTTAAATTTTATTGAATGAAAGTAAAAAATGTCGGAAATAGCATCAAATTTTAGAATAATTTTAGATTTGTTCGAATTGGTCACCTTTGGCACGAATTATGGCCTTCAAACGGCCAATGAAACCGTCACACGCAGCCCGAATATTTCTCTTTGGTATTTTGGCACTTTTTAGTGCCAACCTTGCTTTCAAAAATACTCCAGTCACAACAGTCCAACGGATTGGTATCCGAAAATTTTGTAACCATTCTTGGGCGGCGCGTGCTGAGTGCAATGGTGCTGAGTCCTGTTCGAATGTCTAAGGTCTGCGGCCAAAATGTTTGCGTGTTCAAAGTTTTGATACATCCTCCAGAATATATTCGCCATAACATTCGGCATTTATTCTGATGCCACGGTCGATAAATATGAGCGGAGAGCGACCATCGGCTGTTATGACGGCCCACACCATCATCATGGTCGGTGGTTGAGTTCTGGTAGCCAACCGAAGGTGCAAATTTTCAGCTGACCTCTTTGGCAAGTAAACTCGATCATTTTGCTGAACAACGAATGTTTTTTCATCGGAGAAAACCAAATTCGGCAGTTCACCACTTTCGGCCAAGCGAAGCAACTCTTTAGCTCTTTTGAGTCTATTTTCTTTCTGTTGCGGTGTAAGTTCTTGAACTTTCTGGGCTTTCAATGGCTTTACCCCGAGCTCATTTTTGAATATTTGGCGAATGGAATATTGCGATACATTCAGCTCACGAGCCATTTTTCGGCCACTGCGACGCGGGTTTCGATCAAGTCGCTTCTATACTTTTCAAACCATTTCTGCTGATGTTGCTGTCTTCTTCCGTCCACATCCTTGACGTCGGGCTACGCTACCAGCATCAAGGTAACGAGCGATGGTACGAGACACAAAAAATTTATTCACATTTAAATGCTGGAGCCACTTGTGGTTTTCCAGCCAAATATAAAGAAATCACACTATTACGCTTGAATTCCATCACAAATAACTTTTTTTCTGGAAAATTCTCGCTAAAATGCTTTTGTACGCTTGTAAACAATATAATGAGCTGTCATTGGGATAATTTTAACAGCTGTCGGACGAGTAGCTTTGAAATGACTGCAGTCTGAAGTTGGTTGCAATTTTTTCATCTCACCCTGTATATCTGCGACCCCCTTTTGGTACCTCACCCACAAAGGATACGATTTTCAATGCTTTTATCTGTCATAAGTTGCGAAACAAAATCAGCTTTTCTTCACAACTTGCTATATCTAAATATTTCCCGCATCCAGAAACCTGGAATGAATATGGAATTTCTGATTTCGCATAAAATTTAATATAAATGTTCGATTTTCTTGTAATTTTTCCATGCCAATATTTTTATCTGTAGTAGAAGGTAACACACGCACAGTTTAACATTTTTTAAAAATTATCACATATCTCATATAAAGCGCATCAAGTAGTCAACCTGGCACGTAGGAATATTTACATCATATTTTTTAGCTCCGATACAAAATGGATAATATTGGCCCATTCCTTTGGAACCTACCCAATAGAGGGTCAAAAATTTGAATTATCATAAAAGAAGTCAAAGTATATTTAAATGTGAGAACATTGACTGACTGATACTATTTTAACTTTTTATAATTCTAGAAAAATATATAATACAAGGCGGGACAAGTTTGACAAAATTGTTGCAAGTGTGCCTTAGATGTACAGCTTAAACACTCAGAAGAAGTATCAATACAAATGCAATAAATTATTTTTTTGTCTGATTTTTTGGCAAAATCTTAAAAACAACAAGAAAAAAGGTCAGAAAATAATTTAGATAATATCATCTAAAAATGTAGATAATATTAGTTTTTTGGACCAAATAAAAATTCACTAAAAATTAAAAATTCAAATGTGTTTCTATTATAATTATTTCTTTAATTCCAATAAGTGACAGCGAGTAGCATCACATGAATAAATTAAAACAGCTGCAATGACCACATTCCTTTCACATAAATCAATTCACTAAAGCCGTTGTAAAAACGCCCAATTGGCAACACTTTAATTTGTTTTGTTTTGCTATTTGTTTCTTTTACCACAAGTGAGAGGTGGTAAATCTGGTGAGATACGTTTTCGTGTGTGTGTGTAACATTTTTACATCGTGCTCGCTCAGCTGTTTTCTCTCATTTCGTTTTGTAATGGTTTTCGGTGTTTTTGTTAATTTCTTTTTCATCCATTTTTCTTACTTCTGTGTAAAATTGCTTAAAAAATACAGGAGGGTTGTAATTGCTGTGGATTTTTTTGATTGCTGCTTTAAGATATTTGAATTCCCCCCTCAATCTTTTTTACCACACCACCACTGAGAGAAAAAAATATGATTTCTCAAGAGAAAAGAGTGGGAGCAATGAATGCGCCTCAATGATTTTTTCCTTAGAATTAATTGTTTCGCAGACAGCCAAGCCAGCCACATAAAATAAAACATATAATTGTGAGTTTTGCTAAATTTAAAGAAATTTGCCGGTTGGAATTTCTGTTCTGCCCTGCCCGCCATGTGGAAGCAATAGTTTGTTTGCATTGGATTTATTGCTGGTATTTATTTGCATGTGCAGATGGATGGGTTCAGCAAGGGTAGCAGAAAAGAATGACGAAACATGACGTTTCATCCGCCTCTGCATTTGTTGGAATTCAAAGGAATTTGATATTGAAAGGCATTCTATAGGTGACGGTAATGTTTTTTTATATTTTATGTTGCTAGCTATTAATAAATATATACAAATATAAATTTAGATATTTTGAATAGTTCTTGGGGAACTCAAAACGTTGGCGATGATGCAAATATATTGAAACACTGTGGTGCTGGTTTTCAGTAAATAAGCGGAACTTGTCCTAATTGTACTGTTTACGTGAAGCTGTAGGAAGAAACATGATCTTCAGCATAGGAGATGGGCACCAAATTTCTTACAGCATGAACCGGGCAGTAATTCAAATGTATCCAGCATAATCAGGGCCGTGATTTTAATTCAAACTCCATAAGCAAATTGGCGCCATTATAGCAATTTCCTAAAGTCAGTGCTAAAGTGGAGACAAAATTAAATTTGATATTTTGAAAAATCTTTGTT